GTTTGTGTGACGACCAATGCTGCCTTGAAGCGACACGTGGTTAAGTGCATAATTGAACAATAGAACCACTTAGTCGAATAAATAAGCAGGAAGAACAACATGAACAACAAAAGCACCAGGATGAGGAAAGACTGCAACAACAACAACAACAACAACAACAACAACAACAACAACAACAACAACAACAACAACAACAACAACAACACTCGCAAGCTCACAATAAGCAACTAGTACACCACCACAAGCAACAACAAGGAAGTACAATGGACGCAGAAATCATTGAAAATTGTAGGGAATGGAACAATAAAAATAACAAGTTGAGAATAGCAGGCCTATTTGGTATGCCAATTGCAGTCATTGCTGGAACCAAATTGAGCAAGTCTGCTGTCCCATTTCACTAATACTAAATGTGGTCAGAAGCCTCCAGCAAGCAACCTTCACTCCATACTCAATAGACAGGTCATCCACAATGTCTTTGTTCCACCAAAGGAAAGAAATATTATTGAATCTCACATGGCTGCCTCTGCTCAAGACAACGATGACTTTGGTGGCAAGAACGAGGGAAACACCAATGACAACAGCGATGGTGATGGCAAATGTACTTTTGACAACAGCAACACAACACAAGCACAAGAGAAATTCTTACCTCCTCTGTCACAGCCAACCAATGAAAACATTGATTTCAATCATAGAGAGAAAGAACAACAAAATCACATTGTGCTTCAGCCATCTCACCAGCTTCTTGCAGAGGTTGAACTAATGAACCTAATGACTACTAAGCACAAACTTTCACTTTCTACATTCACATCAATATGGACAAAATGGGCAGAGAAAAGTCAGAACAGAATAGGAGTTGACTACAGTAATACTACTAAAATCCCTGTTGCAGAATGGCAATATTCAAAGAACTCAGGAGTAGCCTTGGTATTTCTGACATGAAGTTTCACCCACTCACAGTCAACTGGCTTCCAGACAACAAAGAATCACCAAAGGTGTATGTTAGGTCCTTTCATGATGCTCTATACTCTCTACTCTCAAACTAAGAGTTCATGAAGGAAGAAAATCTCTCATTTCCTGATTCTACAACTGCTCTGTCTTTGTCGTGTAATAAACCAGAGTTGGATGATGATTCTGTAATTTCAGAATTGCACCATGGTGCCTGGTGGAAAGCCTCTTGGGATGAAATTTGCACCTCTGATTCAAAATTTCTTGTTCCCATCATTTTCTATATATGGAATATCTTTAGATGCACATGGAAGACTCACTCTCACACCGCTAAACATGACACTGGGTATTTTCAGTGTTCCAACATGCACCAAACCAGAAGCTTGGACAACCATGTACTTTCATCCTGATTCAGAATGGTAGTCCACCAGACACACTTGCCCAGCAACAGCAAAAGAAAAATGCAAAACCTACACATTGGGCTTGGACAGCGTCCCTTGAAGGGACGCTGTCCAAGTGGATGTTCTCCAGATCACTGCTGTAATTGACGACAATCTTGACACAGGAGAGGATCTTCCTCCACCTGGGGGAATCATCAAAGTGCTTCAAATCATTTCTGAAGCAGACTTCAGTGGTTCAAAGAAGGTGAACCAATGCATCTTTGTAAGTGGTCAGAATGCTACTACTCTGGGTAAGGAACCAAGTGGCTAGTACTAGTACTAGTAGTACTAGTAGTACTAATGTGGTGCCAGCGATGATGACACCAAGCACCAGCAGCAGGAACAAGAAGAAGAGGAGGGAGAGGTGACAATGCAGTGGCTGCAACAAGAATGACTGCAAAAACAACACCAAGAGAACGCTGCAATCAAACCCACCATTAAATAAATTTTTAAGCTCAGGTTCGCAGAACCCTTCTTCAAAGAAGGGAAGAATGACTGTTACATCATTGTCTCCTCCTGTTCTTCTTGTTATCATGATTACTATGTTGTTAAAAATGTGTGATTTGCACAAAAACTATTTAAAATTGCTCATGTCGGTGTCTCTCCAGCACTAATTGTACTAGAAAGACGGAATGGAATTGAGTTAGTAACACTGCTGACCCTTGTGCAGACATTTTTTTGGCTCCTCAAGTGATAGTTGCAGACTGTTGAGGGACACGCACACCCAAAGTGTCACGTTTTTGCTTGTCGTAGAAGGTACTATTGTATCCATATGAGGTACAGGGAATAGGTTTGCTTCACACTTCGCAAGCATTGTTTTCTTTCCTCCCGTTCCGTAAGGTACCGTACGGCAGGGGTCATAATTTAGAGGGGTGCGCGTCGCAGCGAAAACTCATATTCCATGTGTGTCCGAAATTGGAAAATGTCACCCC